CGCCACGTCCGAAAGCAAACCTCGCCCAGACTCCGTCGCGGAGCCGCTGGACTCTCAGGTTTCCGCTCCTCCTCCTCCTCTTCCTCCTCCTCCTCCTCCTCCTCCTCCTCCTCCTGCTCCTCCTCATTCTGGTCCTCCTCCTCCTCCTCCTCCTTCTCCTCCTCCTCCTCCTCCCTTCCTGCTCCTCCTCCTCCTCCCTCCTCCTCCTCCTCCTCCTCCTCCTCATCATCATCATCATCATCATCATCATCCTCATCATCATCATCATCATCATCATCATCATCATCATCATCATCATCATCATCATCATCATCATCATCATCAGCATCACATCATCATCATCATCATCATCATCATCATCATCATCACCACCATCATCATCATCATCATCATCATCATCATCATCATCAGCATCATCATCATCACATCATCATCATCATCATCATCATCATATCATAATCATCAGCATCACCATCGCCATCATCATCATCATAATCATCATCATCATCATCATCATCATCATCATCATCATCACCATCATCATCACCATCATCATCATAATCATCATCATAATCATCATCATCATCATCAGCAGCAGCATCATCATCAGCAGCATCAGCATCATCATCATCAGCATCATCATCATCATCATCATCATCACCATCATCATCGTCATCATCATCATCGTCATCAACATCAACAGCATCAGCAGAATCATCATCATCAGCAGCATCATCATCATCACCATCATCATTATCAACAGCATCATCATCGTCATCATCGTCATCATCATCAGCATCATCATCATCATCATCATCATTGTCATCAGCATCATCATCAGCATCACCATCATCATCATCATCATCATCATCATCCCCGTCATCATCATCATCATCAGCATCATCATCAGAGTCATCATCATCATCTTCATCATCATCAGCATCATCATCAGCATCATCATGAGCAGCATCATGATCACCATCATCATCATCATCAGGAGCAGCAACATCAGCATCATCATCATCATCATCACCATCAGCATCATCATCAGCAACATGATCATCAGCAGCAGCATCATCATCATCAACATCATCACCATCATCAGCATCATCGTCGTCATCAGCATAATCAGCATCATCATAATCAGCATCATCATCATCATCATCATCATCATCATCATCAGCATCAGCACTATCACACATCATCAACATCCTCATCATCATCAGCATGAACATCAGCATCAGCATCAGCATCATCATCATCGTCATCACCAGCATCATCTGCATCATCATCAGCAGCATCATCGGCATCATCATCGTCATCATCAGCATCATCATCATCAGAGTCATCATCATCTCCATATTTATTTTCATCATCATCATCAGCATCATCAGCATCATCAACAGTATCAGCATCATCATCATCGTCATCAACCTCATCATCAGCATCATCAGCAGCATCGTCATCATCATCATGATCAGCATCATCATCAGCATCAGCATCAGCATCATCATTATCAGCAACATCATCAGCATCATCAGCATCATCATCATCAGCATCAGCATCAGCATCAGCATCAGCATCATCATCATCAACAGCATCATCAGCATCATCAGCATCATCATCATCATCATCATCATCATCATCATCATCATCATCATCATCATCATCATCATCATCGCCATCATCCGCCCCAGCCCCCCCGCCCTCGACAGACCCTGATCTCCGACGACCTGGGGGCTCGAAACCGAATGCTTTTTGTCAGGGTGCTCTAGGTTTCCTCGCTCGGCGCGCTGCGCGGTGCCTTCCCATGGCCGTCGAAGGAGCTGTTGCGGTCAGGGTGCTCTGGGCCCCCCCACTTGCATCTCGCGCCTGCGGGTTTCAGGGCCGGGTTTCTTGCGAGGATTTCTTGCGGCCGCGCCCGCACTGTAACGGGTGTCATCGGGGGAGGGGCGGAGAAAGAGTTCGCCCCCCAGGTCACATCACGGCGGGGGGCCGCCGGAAATCCCAGGAAAGCCTCGAGAAGAAACCGAGGGAAATCGCTGCAGATGTGGACAAAATAGCGTGCAATGATCGGGGGGGAGGGAGGGGAGAGGGCCGATCACGGCCGTTATCGCCCAGACCTTAGGAGAACAATATCATACAGTCGAAACTGATTGCAAGGATGCGCGGTAAGGATCAAGACGAACAAGTAGGGCGAGGATGAAATCGGGTGAGGATAGATCGAGCATCTCTGAGATCTGGCGGCTCCGGAAAATGTCTCGGACGCCGCGGCCTTTTCAGGGCGTTCCGGAACGCTCTGAGAGCGTTCGGAACGCTCTGGAACGGATTCATCCTCGTCCTAAACCCGCCCGAAGGATGCAAGCTCCTTGGACGCCCACGTCGAAGCTTTTCGAGCGGTGCTGGCCATCGGAAATTGGTTAAGGATGGACCAGAGAGGCAAGGATGCAAGGGTACCCTTGGGAAGGTTATCCATCCCTATCATCGGTTTCGACTGCATTCGTCGGGCGTCTGGACGGGCGGGAGGAGGGCTCTTGCCCCGTCGTCTTCTCGGGGACGCGCGAGACTCGCGCGTCTGGGGGGATCACGTTTGCCTGACGAGGCCGTCAGGAGAATGGCGGGGTCTGGTCTGAAGTTTGAGCCGAGCACCCGACACAAGCATTTCACACGATCTGGGCAGTCAAAATTAAAAATGCGGCGGCGAACCGTTTTGCGCGTGCTTTCAAAACCTTTTTGCAGAATCGATGATTTGTGTATTATACACGTTGCGCTTCCGATGGGACTCGAAGCCTCCAGATGGCTCGAAGATGGTCCTAGGGAGCCCAGAAGAGCTGATGAGGGCTCCACGACGGCCCCAAGAGCGCCGAAGTACGAGCGCCCCAAGGGAGCCCACAGGGACGACTTGTCGAGCCCAACAGAGGCAAGAGGAGACACCCGAGAGGCAAACATGATTCAAACACCTGGTGTTGATCAATGCGTCTGGACTTCTACGATGGCCCCAGCAGCGCCCAAGAGAGCCCCACGAGGGACCCAGAAGCGGCCCACGACGGTCCCAAGAGCGCCCAAAAGAGCGCCACAAGAGGGCCCCGCGAGGCGATATCTCAGGCTGCGGGGGGGGGAATTAGGGGATCCCCTCCTTTGATCGATGTCCTCGAAAATAACTTTGGGAGGGAGCCCCAGGCCCCAGAAGGGCCCCGGAGATGACCGAAAGCTTTCAACAGGGACCCAAGAGATCCAAGCGGATCATAAATCTAAAAATTCGCGGAAGGTCGTCACAGTTGACTCCTGATGCATCCGGGCGCTTGGAAATGTGATCTGGCGCGGGGAATGCGCACAAACGCATCTAGATACTGCCAAGTTCATGGAATTGCACATCTGGCGCTTGCAAATGTCGCAGATGCACAGAAACCCGCCTACCTCCTAGGCGCGGAGAAAAAACTGCACGAGCACAAACTTTCGGAGCTCTGCGCAGAATTCCTGGATCGGCCCCATGCCCCCTTCCCTGGCGCGCGGGTGCCCCAGCACCGATCTGAGAACTCCGCGCGGAACTCCGAGTGTTTGCGTTCAGGGCTGAACCTAAACGGTGTCTTTCGTTTTCGTTTTGTTTTCGTTTTCCCTCGTTTTGTCTTCAATCCACCTTTGCCGCAAAACGAAGTCAAAACGAAAACGGCCCACGAAATCGCCAAAACACCGTTTAGGTCCAGCCCTGTTTGCGTTTATGATATTTTTGTTGTTCTACGTCCTCAATCGAGTACCTTGGCGTGCAACGAAAGCGGGTCCTGAGGAAAGCGGGTCCTGGACCCACCCACGGGCCTCCCCCCAGGACCACCTCCTCGGCTGGAACGATTGTCTGGCAGTCCTGTGGCCCGTGGATCGGAGAGCCAAAAGCGGCGAAAAATCGCAAGACCCGTCATCTTCAGGACCCGATCTCCTCGGGACCCGTTTCCTTCAGGACCCGTTTCCTCCATTAGACGAGCGCGTTCCACTACTCGCAAAGTGACTACTCGCAAATGGCCTGAATCCCCCGCGGAGGATCTACGACAAATCGCATCGAAGCGGACACGTGCTCTTCGGACGTCTGCGAGTAGGCACTTTGCGAGTAGTGGAACGCGCTCGGTGATCCTCGGGACCCGTTTCCATCAGGACCCCATTGGAGTCCCGAAACGGTGCGGTGACAGACCGTGCGGTGACCTCGAAATCCCCCAAGACCTCACCGCACGGTCCGTCACCGCACGGTCTTGGGACCCCGGAGGCCCCTGTCGCCCGGAGACATCCTCGGAGAACGACCCGAGTCCCAAAACCGTGCGGTGACCCCGAATCCCCACCGACTCACCGCACGGTGTGGTCATCACCTCGTTTGGGGGCCCCCGAACTTCCTCCATGGCGAATCCAGCGCAGGTGCACGCCCGCGCGGGGGGGCCTGCCGGGGCGACGCCGCGTACCGGGGGGATCCGACCACGTGCCGCTGGGACGCGGCAAGCTGCTGCGACGCCCCGTCGCCTGGCGCCGGGTCCACGACAGCCAGTCCTCCTGGTCATTCTCCTGGTCCTGGCCCTCGTCCTGCTCGTCCCGATCCTACGAAGCCCTCTGCCCGATTCACTTCTGTACCGACCGACTGCATCGGCCACTCCTACTACTACTACTACTACTACTACTACTACTACTACTACTACTACTACTACTACTACTACTACTACTACTACTACTATGCATACTACTACTACTACTACTACTACTACTACTACTACTACTACTACTACTACTACTACTACGACTACGACTACGACTACGACTACGACTACGACTACTACTACTACTACTACTACTACTACTACTACTACTACTACTACTACGACTACTACTACTACTACTACTACTACTACTACTACTCCTACTACTACTATTCCTACTACTACTACTACTACTACTACTACTACTACTACTACTACTACTGCTGCTGCTGCTGCTGCTGCTACTACTACTACTACTAGGGCTATCCAGGGTTTGGTGGCCGGACATTCCGTCCGTCCGTCCGTACCCTCAAGGGTGGTGATGGAGTGCTGGTGGTGATGGTGTGTGCGGTTGTGTGCGGTGGTGTGTGTGGTGTCTGTGGTGTGTGTGGTGTGTGTGTGCTGTGTGTGGTGTGTGTGGTGTGTGTGGTGTGGCCGGGGTCCAGTGGCCCGGGTTCGGTGGCCAGCCCGTCCGTCCGTGAAGATGTTGGTGGTCTGATGATCAGATGTTGGTGATGTGATGATCGTATGGTGGTGGTATGATGAACAAATGATGGTGGTAAGGTGATCAAATGTAAGTGGTATGATGATCATATGGTGGTGTATGCTGCTCATATGGTGGTGGTATGATGATCATATGTTGGTGGTATGATATTCATCAGGTGGTGGTTCGATGATCATATGGTGGTGGCATGATGGTCATATGGTGGTGGTATGATGATCATATGGTGGTGGTATGAAGATCATATGGTGGTGGTATGATGATCAAATGGTGGTGGTATGGTGATCAGATGATTGTAGTATGACGCACACATGGTGGTAGTGTGATGATCGTATGGTTACGGTGTGGTGGTCATATGGTGGTACAGCAATGATCACGTGGTGGCGGCATGATTGCCATATGGTAGTGGTATGATGATCAGATGGTATGGTGATCATACGGTGGTGGTATGAAGACCATATGGCGGTGCTATGATGATCATATGGTGGGGTATGGTGGTGGTGTGATGATCATCTGGTGGTGGTGGTATGATGATCATACCGTGGTGGTATGATGACTAGATGATGGTGATCTGATGATCATATGGTGGTGGTATGACGATCATATGGTGGTGGTAGGATGCTCATATGGTCGTGGTATGATGATCATATGGTAGTGATATGATGATCACGTGGTGGTGGTATGATGATCATATGATAGTGGTATGATGATCACGTGGTGGTGGTATGATGATCAAATGGTGACGGTATGGTGATCATATGGTGGTGGTGCGATGATCATATGGTGGTGGTATGATTGCCATATGGTGGTGGTATGATGATCACGTGGTGGTGGCAGGATTATCACATGATCGTGGTATGACGATCCGATGGTGGTGGTATGAAGACCATATGGTGGAGGTATGATGATCATATGGTCGTGGTTTGGTAACCATATGGTGGTGGTATGATGATCGCATGCTGATTGATCATACGGTGGCGGTATGATGATCATATGATGGTGGCGTGATGATCATATGGTGGTGACATGATGACCACACGAAAATGGTAAGATGATCAGATGCGGGTGGCATGGCGATCATATGGTGGTACGATGATCATATGTTGGTGTGATGATAGCATGGTGGTGATCCGATGATCATATAGTGGTGGTATAATGATCACATGGTGGCGGTATGCTGATTATGTGGTGGTGGTTTGATGGTCCTATGGTGGCGATATGATCCTCATATGGCTGTGGTATGATGATCATGTGGTGGTATGGTGATATGATGGCGGTGGTATGATGATCGTGAGGTGGTGGTATAGTGATCATATGGCGGTGTACTCATGATCAGGATGGCGGCGGTATGATGATCACTTGGTGGTGGTATGATGGTCATATGGTGGTGGTTTGATGATCATATGGTGGTGGTTAGATGATCATATGGTGGGTGGTACGATGATCATATGGTGGCGGTATGATGGTCAGATGTTGGTGGTATTATGATCGTATGGTGGCGGCATGATGACCTGATGTTGGTGGACTGGTGATCAGATGTTGGTGGTATGATGGTGAAACCATGACCATGAAACAGGATAGTACTACATAACACTACTGCCTACTACTACCTACTACTGCCTACCACTACCTACTACTACATACTACTACCTGGTACTACCTACTACTCCCTACCACGACCTACCCCTACCTATGACTACCTACCACTACCTACTATTTAATACACGAATCTATTTTTTATTTCTTAGTATAAAAAATAGAAAGAAGGAAGATCAAAAAAACAAAACAAAACGTTGGAAGTTCAGTTTCGACCTGCGCGGGTTCAGCAGGAACCCATCGGCCTCGAGGGGCCCCAGGGGCTCTCGGAGGCACGTCCGCAGGCACAAACTCCACTCTGGGAAGTCTGCGCACGGTAAGCCGCTGAACGAGGGCAGACGGTCTGTCTGACTAGGCAGCTGACAGGGTACGGCGACGGCGAGAAGTTATTCTCGCCCGAGCTTCAAAATGTTGGTCTGGGGACCCCAATACTCCCAGCCTTCGGGCGTTCAGCGTAGACCAAAAGGCATCGCCACACGCAGCACGCAGTAGTAAAACGTCAGACGGCGCAGAGAACAGGAGAAGGAAGAGGCCAAACCAATGTGGGCGCCCACACGGCTCACGGAAGCAAGACAAACGGAAGCCCAACCATCTCTCCAGAAGTTGCTCAAGTCCCGGGCAAACACAATAATGGTAGATATCGTCTAAATCAGTCCCAAGGTCACATTTACATCCAGACAGACACCCATTCTCTTTCGTATGGAACCTCGAGGATGTCTGACGGAGATGGTGAGGAGGCGGAGCGGGGCAACAGCAAGGTAGGTCGAGGTCGAGTTGGGGTAGGTTCTGCTGGCAGAAGGTGGTGATGTGCGTCATGGAGGCAGCTGCGAACAACCTCCTGGCACGCCTGAGCAGGACAGAATGGGCTCGTTCGTAATTGCCCGATACCCTGGCAAGTCTGTAGATGTTCGTCTGAAGTTTGTTCCATTCAATGTCCAGGCGGGGGCTGAGGGAATGAAACCAATTGAGAATACGACGGATGTGGTTAATAAACGAGTCCTCGTTCAACCCCATATGCCACCGATACGGAATGTGCTCTAAATCATCTCGCGCAGCCTGAAGGGTATCAATAGATTTTCCCACTGCCTCAGAGCGAAGGGCGAAACGGGCACAAGAGGCTTTCGCCATCGCGAATATAACAACAAATTCGGCCCCAAGTCCTATCTCCTGCAGTTGTATCGCCAGCTGGTAGCAGATCGCATTCCGCGGACCGACGGTCAACAGCAGAACTCTTTCCTTGAATCATTGACTACCTACTACTACTACTACTTACTGATACCTACTTCTACCTGCTACTACCTACAACTGCCTACTACTACCTGCTACTACCTACAACTGTCTACTGCTACGGACTACTACCACCTACCACCTACCACTACCTCCTACTACCTACTAGTTCTTACTACTACCTGCTACTACTTACCACTACCGATTACGACGTGCGACCACCTGTTACTACCTATCACCACCCATTACGACCTACTACTACCTATTACTACGTATTACGACTCACGGCTACCTATTACTACCTACTACGACCTGCTACGGCCTACTATTAAATATCACTACCAACTAATACCTTCTACTACCGACCACTACCTGCCACTACCTACGACTGCCCACTACTGCCCACTACTGCCTACTACGACTACCTACTACTACCTACTACTACCTACCCCGAATTACTACTACCTACTACTACCTATGACTACTGACTACTACTGATTAGTATTACCTACTACTACCAACTACTACCCACTAGCACGTACTACGAAATGCTTCTCGGGGGGGGGGGCGGTACCCAGGGCGGGAGCAAACAACTTACCATTCCCCCCTGCTCCTGGACGCGCCCCTCCCCCCCTCCCCCATACCCTTCCTGCCGCGACGACGACGACGACGACGGAGAGAGGGGGCAGAGAGGCTTCCGAGGAGCCTCTGAGAAGCCTCTGAAGAGCCTCTGAGAGGCCTTCGAAAAGCCTCTGAGACGCATCTGAGACGCCTCTGAGGGGGCTTGTGAAAGGCTTCTGAGAGGCCTCTGAGAGGCCTCTTAGAAGCCCCTGAAGGGCCTCTGAGAGGCCTCTAAGAAGCCTCTGAGAGGCCTCGGAGGGGCTTCTGAGAGGCGCTTGAGAAACTCTGGGAGGCCCCTCAGAAGACTCTCAGAGGCCCCTCAGAGGCCTCCGAGAAGCTTCTGAGGGGCCTCTGAGGGGCCTCTCAAAGGCTTCTGAAGGGCCTCTGAAAAGCCTCAGAGGGGTCTCTGAGAGGCTTCTGAGAGGCCTCCGAGGAGCCTCTCAAAGGCCTGTGAGAAGCCTATGAGAGGCCTCTGAGGGGCCTGTGAGAAGCTTCTGAAAGGCGTCTGAGAGGCCTCTGATGGGCCCCTCCGGCCACCAAACCCCGGATTGCCCTCTCAGAGGCCCCTCAGGCCACCAAACCCCAGACTGCCCTACTACTACAACTACTACGATTACGACTACGACTACGACTACGACTACGACTACGACTACGACTACGACTACGACTACGACTACGACTACGACTACGACTACGACTACGACTACGACTACGACTACGACTACGACTACTACTACTACTACTACTACTACTACTACTACTACTACTACTACTACTACTACTACTACTACTACTACTACTACTACTACTACTACTACTACTACCACTACTACTACTACTACT